CGCTTACCATCAGGTGGGCCGTATACTTATTTGTCACCTCAGTGGTATAAAAAAAGATAGTAATTACTGGATAATGTTTATTTATGCAACTTAGAATGGCAAACAAGCTGACGGCCCACCTGATGGAAAGTGGTAACCGTCGCCTATAGACATGAGTAGTACCATGGACATAACAGAGTACACTGTTTCGCCCATGATACCTCCCATGCGTTGCCATTCCTGAGGTCTCAGGTGTTATTCTTCTGGACCCTGTAAATTCACTGCCATATCTCACCCTTCAAACCGAAACACAGCCATGCAAACACAACTGCTTCACGGTAGAGACACGAACGGGACAGAGGTGCTCAAGCAAACGACTTTTGTACAAAGTCTCTCTCTGGTTAATATGAGGTAAAATAAAAAGCATTAAATTTGAAATCACTATTGTATTTACGTAATCGGTTACCCTCCGAAACGACGTCTCACCAAACAGACAGTATATAAAGCTTATTTACATTTACCGTTATAAATTATATTACGAGTACTATAACGGAAATACTAAAAATATTTTTTTTTTCTATTACATACAATTGATACAATATTTTTCTTTTTAAATTATGCTTAGTGACACACGTGTATAGAGTGGTATCGAAATCGTTATCAACGTATTAAATACTAGCTATATATCGTGTCTTCGCTCATAAAAATCGGTATACAAAGTATCCTATATTGTAAATTAGGATATAATCTACTCGTGTACCGAGTTTCATTCAAATCCTTTTTGTAGTTTTTACGTGACAAAGTAACAAACATCTGTCCGTATTTGCAAATTATCGCGTTTATAATAGTGGTGGAATTCAGATTTATTTCTCTGGTAAATAACATATTTTGTGTTTCCATACTGCGTGTTATTCAAGATGAATTACCTATGGAAATAGCCTATTTTTATATGAATCGCGTATCTTGAAACCTAAGAACAAGGAATTACATTGAAGGAATGATAAAATAAAAACTATAAATCATATGATCGCCTCTTTTCTTCTTATGCAAATATAATTAGCAAAAAGAGAACAATAGATACACCATCAGTTGCTATTTTTGTCAATTCATAGCAGGCTAGTGTATAGTGAAATATATTGAAAGAAAATTTAAGTTTTTTTTTTTAAATAATTATTTTATTTATAAGTAAAAAAGCAGATTATGAAGGATAGATACTGTTGACACTAGATTTTAACTAATAGGGACTCAACGTTAACAGCTGAGAGATATGATTTCGTAAGGTACTTAATTTTTTTTATTAATTAAATGAATATTAGATTTAAAGATGACATTATTAACTACTGTGGTTTAGACTCGCTTTAGTAATTTATATATTTTGACTTCTTATATATATAAGATATTAATGCCAAAAATGCTGTTGGCAACAAGTAACGAACGTAGATACCATGTATTAATTCATTACATATTGTACTACACCTACTTACAGAGTGACTTATCACTATTTCAATTATTTCCCTTGAGAGGAAAATATACGAAAATCCATTAACTATGTTTTTTTTTTTTTTTTAATTTTCGTAAGTAGAGACGTAACAATGATAAAGCGAAAATACTTATTTTAAAAAGCATTCTATTAATGCGTTTTTTAAGCTGTTATATTTTGAAAATTCACTTAAAATAATAATATAAAAATATAATCGTGTGTGTCATATATAGATACACACGCATGTGAAAAAGCAATATTTTCTGGCTCGTTTTATCTAATCGATGTGGTAGTGAAAACGTATCTATCAATAAATTTATTAACCGTTTATATAGTTCATATGATACTTTAGTGTACAATAAAATAAGATTTTCAAGGGAAACAGATTTTTTATTTTATTTGAAAATGTACATACTTACGTACCTACGCAGGTATAGACATCAGGTGTAATGATGTTTGAAAGAAAGTTCGAAAATTTACGATCTGTTAGTATTACTTCGTAGTGTAATTGAGAACACATGCAGTCCGGATAACAGAAAGGGAACGAATTAAGTGTGTGAAAAAGTGGGTTCGAATCTCATCGCACACAGTTGTTGGAAGGGATTTTTTTAAACTATTAATAATTTGAGAAAAACTGATTTCTGAGAGAATTCTCATATATTTTGTTTATGTTATTTTTATTAGTTTATATTATTATATTTTTACGAATATATAAAAAGGAAGAGTTTATTTGAAAGTTAGTCTCTAGAATTACAAATTGAATTTGAAAAATTTTTTTTGTTAGTTAATTTCTTGAGGAAAGTTATAGGCTATTTCATACTACATTACGATCGCGGATGAGGCCGCTGTATATAGCTAGTATTTAATTACCTATAGTCCTTAACCTACTCCTGGTAATATTACAAGATCTTTTTTTTTTTTTAAGAACAATCTGTTTATTTAGGATATAATTTATCGAGAAACATGTCACTAAGCATTCAAACATGTGTTCGAGTAATGTCAACTAAAATTGTAATTAATCATAATTAACAGAATGTAACATTGTAATGAAATTAAACTAATGATGAGCCTGTAATAATCTAAACATATACATGGAAATTATAAAATTTTATTACAAAAAATTTTTTAATTATTAACAATGTAACTGAAGTGGGAACAACGTATTATATATTTTTCTTATTTATTGAGCATACACTATAAATTAAAAATTGTGGGTATCAGTGGATGCAGGTAGCTCAGGACCATTCCATATGCCAGTCTATAAGGGAGATCTATGTTCAGCAGTGAACAGATAACGGCTGATATGTTTTACACAAAATTCTTTAACTTAAAAGTACCACAGTAGCAGAAACTGTTTATTCTTCTGAGGTAGCAGTATAACAAAATACAAGTAAAATAGTTTTTGTTTAAAGTTTCAATAAGAAAAATTACTTTAAAATTGTAACTTGCTTCGCTGTGGTAACACCAATTTATTTTTAATATTAAACTCCAATTTTTTGCAACAAAAATATCACAAGTATGATATTTATCATTTTAGACAATATAAGTTACAATTTTTAATTTCTCTCGACCGAAATTCGAATTGTATCGGATCGGATCTAAAAAGCGATTAGATGGTATTATATATATATATATATATATATATATATATATATATATATATATATATATATATATATATATATATATATATATATATATATATATATATATAGTATTACAGGCTCATTATTAGTATTAGGCACCTTTGATTTTGAATAATTATATATTATTAAATTGAGATAACTTATGATTTTTGACCGAAAATACAATTCGAGACTTTCAAAGCATTACACAAATGATTCATGTTTTTATTAAACTATACAACATTCTCATTTTTATTTCATTTAAATCTATCTACTATTATTTCACTCTTGTCTTTCATATAATTTGAAATAACTTATTATTTATTAAATAATATTATAATACAGATAAATTTGTTTATTTATAAAGGTTTCTACTGAGAATATCTATTATAGAAATATGCTTCAATTTTTATTTATATGAAAAAAAATAACATTAACTTGTACAATATATATTATTCTTTTTTTATAGCATTCTCTGTACTTATTTTAAGGTAAACTAAATTAATTTCTAAATAATTAAAAAATATAAAGTGAAAAATAAAAATTGAGGCATCATTACTATTGATTAATTAATGTATTTGAATGTAGAAAATTCAATATTAACGGTTTAGGCCCGTACATGTACCAACGCTTATTACATTCAAAATTAACTTATAATTGACTATTTGAAACGCTAAAAAACTTTAGCGGGGCTCATGGCTAAAAGCTTTTAAGCGTATATTTTTTTTTTATTTTGTACCATGACAATAAGTAGAAATTCCCAAAATAAAGTACTTTTTTTACTTCATTATAATAGTTTATAAAAAACAAAAGAATAAAAATAAATTTATTCAAAAATGGAACAAGCATATTAAAAAAATTAGTAGTTTATTATGTTATTACTCATAAAAATTTTGGCATTCTACCTATTGCCAGTATATGATAATATTTCAAATTATCTATTACTTAACATTTTCCAATTTCGGTTCATTACACTTTGAACAAACTCATCTACAGGACAGACTTATAATATCTCTGACACACCATAAAGCAGATTTTGCACGTTCCTAAAATTCCTTACACGTAGATAAATACTTAACTAGAAATATAAAGAGACTTCTGATATAATACACCTAACATTTATTTACATGCTCTAACACTTTATTGTCAGTTCTGAACTTTAAAGACCAAATAAATTATACAACGTACCTACTTATTTACAAATCGGCAATGCCAAAGATTCGCTATACATTTATTACACAATCTATACGATAATCACCAACATCTTCATCATTTCTATACATCAAAAGCGTACGAATACTTAACATAATTAATTTATTGGTATTGTCTTATGATTAGCAATATTGGAATGGTCATCATTCGAATATTGTGCGCGTAATTTTCAACCATATTAGCATTGGAATTGAATAAATTACGCTTATTTGTAACCAACATACATGGACTAGGTGATATGAAAGCCGCCTCGTAAAAGCCTAGTGAAAGTCTTCTTGAATTGTTGGTTCGCTAGCGCGTAGCAAAAAGGATTTATTGGGCTATTAGCGTAACATAAAAAGTATGAGAACATATAAAAATGTTTATTAATACAAGGTGGGTCGGTACAAAATCCCTCCACTAGAGCAACTATATGATATGGGGTCCAACATATAACAAATGCTCCTAATATGAAAGATATGGTTCTAAAGGCTTTCCTAGCTCTATTTTCCGATTTGGACTTCTGCCGACCGATACTCTGAAACAAGCCGTCTCGTTTCGAACGTTTAACTTTCAATTTTTTTCCTATGTTTTTGACGAACTCCTTCTTCGAGTCGCCGCGACCTGACCCAGTTACAGCCGTGCTGGAAATATCGCTGTTCTCAACAGCTGAGCTTACTGGATTTAATTTTAATGGCGTAATTTTAGTGCAGTCGGTTTGGGCGGTTGTGGCTCATTATTATTGGAAGACGATGAAACAAGAGTAATCACAGGCTTAGGTCGCTCTCCCGTAGTTAAACTTACTTCTGTATTCACTTTGATTGGTGGAGGGGGAGATACATTTGTTTTGGGTTGTGTTACTTGAGCTTCAGCTGTTGCTCTAATTAAAGCAGCTTGTAATAAAGATGTGTTTGTAACATTACCCGAATTTAAAGTAGGGGGAGATGATGGTTCAGTGGCAGTAGGAAATGTTATCGATGATGGAGGACTCTCATAAGTAGGCGAAGGTAAAATAATACACCTAACATTTATTTACATGCTCTAACACTTTATTGTCAGTTCTGAACTTTAAAGACCAAATAAATTATACAACGTACCTACTTATTTACAAATCGGCAATGCCAAAGATTCGCTATACATTTATTACACAATCTATACGATAATCACCAACATCTTCATCATTTCTATACATCAAAAGCGTACGAATACTTAACATAATTAATTTATTGGTATTGTCTTATGATTAGCAATATTGGAATGGTCATCATTCGAATATTGTGCGCGTAATTTTCAACCATATTAGCATTGGAATTGAATACATTACGCTTATTTGTAACCAACATACATGGACTAGGTGATATGAAAGTCGCCTCGTAAAAGCCTAGTGAAAGTCTTCTTGAATTGTTGGTTCGCTAGCGCGTAGCAAAAAGGATTTATTGGGCTATTAGCGTAACATAAAAAGTATGAGAACATATAAAAATGTTTATTAATACAAGGTGGGTCGGTACAAAATCCCTCCACTAGAGCAACTATATGATATGGGGTCCAACATATAACAAATGCTCCTAATATGAAAGATATGGTTCTAAAGGCTTTCCTAGCTCTATTTTCCGATTTGGACTTCTGCCGACCGATACTCTGAAACAAGCCGTCTCGTTTCGAACGTTTAACTTTCAATTTTTTTCCTATGTTTTTGACGAACTCCTTCTTCGAGTCGCCGCGACCTGACCCAGTTACAGCCGTGCTGGAAATATCGCTGTTCTCAACAGCTGAGCTTACTGGATTTAATTTTAATGGCGTAATTTTAGTTCCAGTCGGTTTGGGCGGTTGTGGCTCATTATTATTGGAAGACGATGAAACAAGAGTAATCACAGGCTTAGGTCGCTCTCCCGTAGTTAAACTTACTTCTGTATTCACTTTGATTGGTGGAGGGGGAGATACATTTGTTTTGGGTTGTGTTACTTGAGCTTCAGCTGTTGCTCTAATTAAAGCAGCTTGTAATAAAGATGTGTTTGTAACATTACCCGAATTTAAAGTAGGGGGAGATGATGGTTCAGTGGCAGTAGGAAATGTTATCGATGATGGAGGACTCTCATAAGTAGGCGAAGGTAAAATAATAGAACTTTCATCCATATATCGCAAGTCAGCACCATCCATTCCTACTAGTACGTCGTATGAACTACCATCACTTTTAACCACTCTGACTGTCCTGGTTTTTGATGATTCTGATTGAGATGGGGGACTTTCAGATACTGGAGGGCTACATCTAAATTCTGTTGGAGGAGGAATTATTCTTTGAGCAATTGTAGTTGAAACCTCTCTTTGATCGGACGGCGTAACTATTCCTGATGATATGGGAGATATAAGACTTGTAGTCGATAAAGGTACTGTTACTGCTGGTTGACCGTTACTTTGAGAGTTATCTGGATTATCTGTATCTAATAAACTTTTTTCGGATATCTGTGATAATGATGACTTAGGTTTATCTGAATCATGCTTAAATAACGGAGATTGCTTTAAATCAGTTTTTATTAACATGCCACCATTCATACGCATATTATTAAGTAATTGCATTGCACCTGTTTGCATAACCAAATTAACCACAGACGGTCTTTTTTTAACATTCGACTGTGTTGTGCTCTCATCATCAGAATCAAAAGCTGGACTACTGGATCTTTCTGCTTCTACTTGTTCTTCTTTCTTTTCAGGATCCGATTCAGCAGTTGTTGACGTTCCTGTACCAGTAGCACTGCTTTTATGAGCTGATGATTTTTGACTTGAGTTAGAATCAGTGGAACCACCTAAATTTAATAATGGAGCTGCTAACGATCCTTTTGATGTAGAATCTTTACGAACGGGGTCGGGAACTTTAATTTGATCTTCACTGGAAATAGTCGCTTTCGACAAACCCGAGGTGCCGGCAGCACGCCCTGCCATACCAGTCATGAAACCAGCACTTAAAGCAACCATAGACTGCATTTTCCTTTGTTTCGCTTCACTTTTTTTCTGCATATCGTATGCAGTCTTAAATATCCCTGCGTACAGTACAATAAGAACAAACAATGTTGTCCAATAATAGCCAATAATTAAAGCTGTATTGAAAATGGGATCTTTAAGGAATTGTACTGCGCACTCACCTTCTTGTAAATCTCTATATCCTACGAAATGTTCCCATCCGAATATAGTCGTAAAAAATAATAAGGCTGGTATTATCCATGTAACTGTGACCATCCATATAACCCGGTTTTTCGTTCGCCAAGCTCTATATCTCGCTGCTATTTTTACGCTGCAGAATCTATCCACTGTTATAAGGAGAACAGTGTATTGTGATACAAGACAAACTGTGTAATCTACTGATAGCCATAAGTCGCAGAGTAACGGACCTAAATGCCAATATCCTTTCAAGACATAGTCGGTATAAAACGGGAGTGAAAGAGTACCTGGAGACAATAATTTATTTTTTTATTATTTTGCAAAAATATTATTTTATAATCGACAACTCTATAATCGCTATTAATTAAGAAGATTAATCGATTCAATAATCTAATTACAAATAATTAAAATTACCTAAACGAAGATCTATTTGATCTGAACAGATGAGTCTTTGATTAAAATTGTATCAAGTTTCAGATGTCTGATTAGACATCCTCCAATACAGTTCACTGGTTTGAGATATCAATTACACAGATTTTGATTTAGATAAACAAATTTGTTTCATGTTTATTTATAAAAAGCTTAATATTTGAGGAATAAATAAAATAAATATTTTAAAGCATTTAGATTGCGGTTTTCAAGGTATTTTATTATAATACAATAACTATTGATTATAAATAAGATCGCGTGAGGTAGTTACGTTGGTAAATGTAATAAAATATAAGTTATTTGCTAGTTTATAGGCTAAAACTGATATAAATAATAAAATATATATTTTTCTAATCCGAATGTTACATAAATGTAAAATAGTCTGTTTGAGGTAAAAAAAAATCCCTAAAGTTTATTTAATATAAAATCATTTCATGTATTCTTAAAACACATTTAAAGAATTTTATTAAATTAATCCCCTTTTTTATAAGAATTATTAGTTATTTATTAAAATATTGCTATTGCATTAATAAAAAAATATTATTTCAAATTCCCAGAAATATTATAGAAAAGGAAAAACACGATAATTTAAGTTAAAGTTTATTTAAATTTAAGAAATGTTTCAATAATAATTCTTACCAATCAACAGGTCGGTAGCGGCGAGTGAAGCTATGAAGTAGTTGCTTGGCTGTCGGATAGTCCTATCCACCAGGAAGGCGAGTAATACAAGGACGTTACCGCTGACCGTCAACAGTATCACTAATACCAGCAATGTCGCGAAGATTGATGCCAGCCAAAGAGGAAACGGTGGGAGCACTGGTTGCTGGGAAAAAAAATTGTAGTTAGAAAAGAAATATTGTGTACTTTATCTATGTTCATGCACAAAACTATCTATTGTTCTCTCATAAAATTTTGATATTTTTTTTATTAATTTTTGAATTTATATTCAATAGTAATATTTTTTTTTATAAAAATGTAATGCAAAGATATTTGAATATCCAGCTTAATATTCTGTCATTTATTTACAAATTATTATCTATTTTTTTTTGTTTTTTAAATAAATAGTTAATTTTAAATTTTCACGTTGTTTATACATAATTCAGTTCACGATAAAATTTCAATTCTAAATATATAGAAATAGTTAAATATATAAATAATAATAATCATATGTAACTATAATAAATAAATACTTCTTAATGGCTGTTTGGGATATTAAATGTGGTAGAATTAATTTGAATACAAAAATCATAAATTTATTTGTATAAATAAAAAGAATTACAATTTGTGTCCCAAACCTTTGACAAAACAAAAAAAAAAAAAAAAAAAAAAAAGAGTACTCTATTATAAAACGTTTGCATTGAAACACATGTGCATTGGAATGTTTCCCAGCCGTCGTTTCTTTTGTTTGCCGCAGGCGTCTAATCGATTTAAGACTGTGTCTACTATGTAGTCACGCTAGACATTGGCTGTAGAAAAATGTCAGCACAGACATAAAATCTATAAGTGACGACCTTGGTGTTGTACTGGAACACTGCTTTACTGTCTGATGGTCGCGGGATCGATTCTCGTATAATAAAAACATTTTTTTACAATTGAACTCATGAATTGAATATTTTATTCTTCAAAAAGGGGATGAGGAGGGTCTTTCAGGGTCTTTTTTTTATGGTTAGCGGTACATTTATATTTAAGGTATCCCGTCCTCGCTATTGGATACGGGTGACGGAATGCCTATACAAGAGGGTACATGGTGGGCGCAGTTTAGATGTAATATTTGAGGAGCATTTGGAAGGTACTACGGCCGGATACTGCAACAAAAAAGAGTATGTGGTCGGCCCCCGAACTGGCGGCCTCTGCTGTCTAGCGGTCTCCAAGCAACGTGCGCGTATAGCCCTTGGTATTGCAGGCGTTCATAGGTTATGGTAACAGCTTACCATCAGGTAGGCCGTATGCTTCTTTGCCACCTCAATGGTATAAAAAATCTATGTTTGTGTTGGGCTAGGTGTTTTCTATGAGTAGAATAGAATTTGTACTGTGGGTACTAAAAAACAAATAGATATAACTATATAAGTATTTTTAAGTAAATATGTATATATATATTGGTATATAAAAAACACTTACACCAATACAAACAGACACTTGTGAATATAATTATTTGTATTATGCGGGAATCGAACCAGCGACCATCGGATTTGATAGATCACTAAATTTGTAAGTATATATGTAACATATGTTAGTATATACCTACCAATTCACCATTAGTAGCCAGTATATTCTCTAGGGTGCTATTGAAGTAGTATACGTCGGTGAAGTTGGTGCCGTTCTGGCAGTCCTGATAGCTCCCGGAGGGTAAGCAGGTGCGTTGCCTAAACTTTTGCAGCTTCCTGTAACAAGGATAAAGGTGTGTACTGACTGGATTATAGATAATACGTTACTATTATAGTTCCAGTATGTAAGTTATAAAGGTGTGTACTGATTGAATTATAGATAATACAATACTATTATAGTTCTAGTATGCAAGTTATAAAGGTGTGTACTGACTGGATTATAGATAATACAATACTATTACAGTTCGAGTATGCAAGTTATAAAGGTACGGTCTGACTGGACCACTGATAATACGACACTATTATAGTAAATGAATGCAAGCATAAAGGTGTGTACTGACTGGATTATAGATAATACAATACTATTATAGTTCCCGTATGTAAGTTATAAAGGTGCGTACTGACTGGACCGCAGATAATACAATGCTGTACTAGTAATAGAACTTAAGTTCCACTACTGTTACAGTAATAAACAGGATTATCAAATGCAATGTTTTATTTATTTTCAAAATTGGTGGAAGAAGCGAAAGAGGTTTGTTTGAATCGAATCATTTGGCGTTCCATTGTTTCTGCCTACACTAATGGGAGACAGGCGTGACAGATATGTATGTATGTAACTTTATAAATAGTATGGTTACGTATTCCACTTCAATAAGGAGAAATGACTTGCTCGTTTTACGACCAATGTTAAACTTGTCCTTTGGATCCATTTATACGTGATTGGGATCAAATCAAGTTGGAAAATTGCTGATATCGAATATGAAATAGCAAAACTATATTACACGGTTTTGTGCGCTTCACGGTAGAAATACGAATGGGACAGAGGTACCCAAGCAATCGACTGTACAAAATCTCCCTCTGGTTTTAAAAAGGACGCTGCTACCTATCGACTATTAAGTTCCCTTAATCGCCTCTTACGACAGCCATGAGAAAGGTAGGGGTGACCTATTCTATACCGGAATCACACGATGTTAATAAACATGCTTAATTGGATAGTTATGGTTTAAATTTTACCTCTTGTTGATATAAGACATAAATACTCACCATTGTGTTATAAAACTGGTACCGATAGTATAGATGGGGGTGGACCTGTTCACGTCGAGACTCTGCTCGGTCGTGTTCATTATGATATTCCAAGGCTCTTTCTATTATTGTCTAAGTTCGAACACGTTATCGCAGATCTCGACGTTTCACGAGTCTTGCATCTGTAACAGAAACATTGTACAGTCCTCTGCTTTGTAAGTATTTAAAATACATTTGTTAAACCGACTTTTGGTATCGTAATGTTATGAACAAACGCCTGGCTTTGCATTGTTTGCAGATAGAAAATGTTTATTTTTTTTTTTAATAAAGTACAACCTATCTTACGCGCAGATTTATTTTTTTATGCAACTTAGAATGGCCAACAAGCTAACGGCCCACCTGATTGAAAGTGGTAACAGTCGCCTATAGACATGAGCAGTACCATAAATAGATAGATAGATAGATACTCTTTATTGTTTCCTCCAAAAGATTAATAAAGTATACCGTTTTGTCCATGATACCCTCCATACGTTACCATTCATGAAGACTCAGGTATTATTCCTCTGTACTTTATAAATTCACGCCATATTCTACCCTTCGAACCGAAACACACATACCTATTTCTACCGTGAACTAGATTATATAACCAGGTCGACCTCCACGTGGTCTCCTCTGGAAATCATCGTGCTGAATTCTAGGTGTATTTATCACGATAGGAAAACTTATCTGCTTTCATCATCACCTATCGTCATCTTTCAATGTTCCACCATAGGCGTACAAATAAAAACCCTGAAAATAGGATATTTTATGTTTTTTTTTATACATCTTAGAATAAACAAGCACGGTCCACCTGATGGAAAGTACAAATAAAAACCCTGCAAATAGGATATTTTATGTTGCTGTTCCTGAGGTCTCAGATGTTATTCCTCTGTACCCAGTAAATTCACGCCATATCCCACCCTTCAAACCGAAACACAGCCATGCAATCACAGCTGCTTCACGGTTGAAACACGAATGGGACAGAGGTACCCAAGCAATTGACTTTTGTACAAAGTCTCCCCTGGTACTCATGCAAGCGAGTGAAGCCACAGGATAGAGTTAGTTAAAAAATAAAAACACAAATCTTATTTATAATATTATTTTTGATATTGAAAGCGTTTATGCGTTACGAATAAAACTCTCTACTTTCTGGCCTATTATCGTAAAAATATCAAAGGTTTTGAAATTGCTTTATATCTCTGAGGAGATAATATGCATTTTTTTTCTATTCGTAGCTCATATTCAATATGTTTTTCGCATAAATATCATATCTTTCTATTTGCTTTTATTCGTTGTCATTCAAATCACATGAGTTGCTGAATTTATATTATAAAAGATATATATATATATATATATATATATATATATATATATATATATATATATATATATATATATATATATATATATATATATATATATATATATATATATATATATATATATATTGACCATTTTTTTACCAACTATTTATATATCCTAAATGCCAATATATATATATACATATATATATATATATATATAATACCGAATTATAACATATTATTATTTATTTAAATTTAATTGTAAGAAATGTGACAATTCAAATTTTATAACTAGTAGTCATCGGGGTAAGGGATTGTTAGTAATGGGGAGGTTAGTCCGCATCGCTATCAATATACTCTATCAACGAATTCAACGATAGTTTCCAGGAGGAACCGCGTGGAGGTCGACTTGATACGGTACATTTATAGCAATGAGGACTAACTTCTCCATCACTAACAAGCCATTCCCCTAAAAAAACTGTTACATTGGTTAATAAAGAAATATAATAATATAATATAAAAAAGGTATTGATTTTTGTTACTTGATTGTTTGTTTATTCTGTAAAAGGGATAAGATGCTGCGTTTTTTTAGATTTATTAAATCTTACTTGTCATATTAATTTTCATCTGAATAACTCTAAATTGGTTGGCTGAAAGAGATCCCTTTAACGATAAATCCGCCATTGTATAATTTTTTTCTTTTCTCCCTTTGTAAAGAAATACTAACGAAACTTGCACAAATAAATGAATGTAATGAATAATACTTTAAAAATATATGAAACTTGACTCGGCTTTGCACGGATAGATAAAATTTTTGAAAATAATACTATATTTAATCATTAATGTTAATCACTGATAATATAGCTTTCTATATATGAAAGAATTTTTAAAATCTCTTGAATAATTTTGAGATTATTCATTACAAAAAAAAAAAATTAAACAAAATTTTCCTCTTTATAATATAAGTGTACATAAAATACTTTATTTCTTTTTTATATTACGAAAGGGTACAAGCATACAACCTGCCTGTGAACACCTGTAACACTAGTGTTATAACGTGTGTGTTGCCGACCCTGAATAAATCTTAATACGCCCTTTTTGAAGAATTTCATACTGTAGTCTTTAGGGAAAACCTCGACAGGGAGCTTAGCCCGAGCGTTCGCGGAAAACTCAATTTTACGCAATCATTTTGTGAACTATGATAATTTACTTGAATTATTTAGATATTTTGACCAGATTACACTCGCTGTGGTCACGAGTAGATTAAACTAATAATAATAATAATATTTATTTAAGAAAGATACAGTTGCATAAGGTACAATTTACAATTTTTACAATTTATATTCAACGAGGAAATATCTGCATTACCATCAGTCCCCAAACTAGGCCAGACCTGTATCTAAATATAAACTATGATAATTGACTAGAATTATCTCGACATTTCGACCAGGTTACACTCGCTGTGGTCACGTGTAGATTAAACTATGAAAATTAACTTGAATTATCTCGACATTTCGACCAGGTTACACTCGCTGTGGTCACGAGTAGATTAAACTATGATAATTGACTAGAATTATCTCGACATTTCGACCAGGTTACACTCGCTGTGGTCACGAGTAGATTAAACTATAAAAATTAACTTGAATTATCTCGACGTTTCGACTAGGTTACACTCGCTGTGGTCACGAGTAGATTAAACTATGATAATTGACTAGAATTATCTCGACATTTCGACCAGGTTACACTCGCTGTGGTCACGAGTAGATTAAACTATGAAAGTTAACTTGAATTATTTCGACGTTTCGATCAGGTTATACCGACTGTGGTCACGACTAGGTTCTTGGGCAGGTAACATCTTAATTTAGCTATATAATGGATTTAATTGCTCTTATAAAACAAAAAATTTGCAGAGCTAAAATCTAAAAGTTAACACGAAAATCTTTCTTAAGAAGTGAAGAATATATACAAAAGATTTACAGCTGTAATCATTTATCATAAAAAATCTAAATTACCTATTTCCCAAGGCAGCAAAGCTGGAAGTTTGCTACAGACATTTCAACTTAGTTAGCCAGATCTTACTAGTAACAGTACATTAACTCTCTCTCTGAGAAAACATTTTCAATTTCCAAGACACCACAATATATTCCTTTTAAAAGCAACTGGCACACTATCGTTTACTTTGCAAGTATTATGGACTTGCGGTTTTACAATACATGCAAATTAAACATCTTCAGTTCTGGAACAAGACAAAGTAGTGTTCATGACGGCGTATTAATTTAGAGAACTTTACTAATATTACATATGTAATAGTGAGTTTGTTAACTCATTAGTGTATTAATGGCTTCAATTGTTATATATATTTAGAATAGAATACAGAATATTTATTGTCAGAAAAACCCAATTACAATAGAAAATATGGAAAATACATTTATAAGAAGTATCTCATGTTAGGCAAAAGGAACTAGCTCAGCTGATGCTGTGAGTGTCCCAGTACAATGTGTACAGCTGCACAGCGCTGGTTTTCAGCCAGTCCCTCTCTTAACAAAATACAATAAAAATGCAAATGGGTACAACTTTAGAAGTAGATGATAATGAAATGTAACCTCGCCTGCGTCGTTGGTATCGCTGTCGGGGCACCAGTGAAGATGGAAGCAGATCAATTGGCCTATCATAATAAATTCGAAAATAATTAACTACAATAGAGTTCAGAGGGAACCGTATGAAAGTCGACCTGAGGTATATTGTTAGCAATGGGGCTGCTAGTCGCCATTATTGAGTTACTGAGTTATTACTGAGTTAATCTCTTTACCGGAAAGTAGCTAGCTTAATTATACCTTTTCTGGAAAGTCGCTAGCTTACTTATACCTTTTGCGGAAAATTGCTAGTCTATACTAATATTACAAAGAGAAAACATTTTATTATTTGTTTGTAATAGGTACACTTAAAAACTATCTAATTGATTTTAAAAATTCTTTCACTAAAAGAGATCTACATTAACAGAACATAGGCTATTAACTGCGATTGTCAACCTGCATGCCAAGCGTGGCATCTACTGGTAAAACCGCTTCTTATGAGGAGACCTATGTTCAGCAGTGGACAGTTAACGACTGATATGATGATATGTTGAACATAGATTATGTATTATTTCCGAAAACTCTGTTAATTCGTGCGAAGAAGGGTTGAAGCTCTAGTATTTAATAATCAATCGTTTCCTGGATTAAAAAAATCTAAACGGTAAGCTAAACAAATGTTTTTTGAAGAGGCAATAAACTTAGTTGCATTTGCAAGTACCGATAAAAATGTTGTAATCATGCGATAAAACAGGTCGCCGGCATGCTGTTCTATCTATATCAACCTATATAGATTATATAGATAGAGTGTCTCCATACAAAAGCTTCGAGAAAAGCGGGTCAACATTTTCATACAATTTTGCGTGATAAATAGTTATGAGTGTTTCCTTTATAACTAATATATTTATTTTATAGTTTTTGCATATTTTTAATGCGTAAAACTAATTTTATTTATTAAATAATTATGTATAGATACATCAAGATATGTACGTAAGTATACAGAATACTGATAAAAAACGAGTCAGCAAATTTGACAATTAGCTGACAAAAAGTTGACCCGTTTTTAAACTTAATGCCACATAATCTAAGATATTAACTTATAACGCTACTTATTTTATATATCTAACCTTACTGGTTTTACGGTTTTAATACTGGCTCAAGGTTCAGGTTTGATTCCAAGGAAACAAATCGGATTAAATTGGAATCCATTTTGAACAATCTGACTCAAGACTCATGTGTTCTATCCTTTAATATTAATTAATTAATAAACATGTAAAAATTTTTTAAGTCCTGTCTAGATATTTAATATGAATATTTGTCACTCATATATCTTCATATCTCTTTATACATTGATTTAGTAGATCATTTCAGTCGTTAACTGACTACCTCTGAACATAAACCTTCTAGTCTAGTTTTTCCAGTAGTTGCCACGCTTGGCGTGCGGTGTTGGCAACTGCAGTTATGCTTTCAGAGATGTTTTAAGAGGGATGCCAATTACCAGTATCACTACCATTAAGTTCCCTTAATCGCCTCTTACGACACCTGTAGGAAAGGAAGGGGTAGCTCATTTTACGCGGAGACCATATGTCATTACGGAATTTAGTGGATGTAAGTTTGTTATTAATTCACATAATTGATTGCTGTGCCCTTCCAGGGTTCATGTTGATTCTTTACCTTTAATAACTTAAGACCTATATTGTTACAACATAAAATAGCAATAAATGATTGAATTGAAATAAATAAAACATTTAAATTAAATTTGGTACACAGTTGGTTTCTGATTTAGTACACAGTAATTTTAAACTAAATTTAGAATCACCGTGATTTATATAGGCGAAGACGCGGTATATAGCTAGTATATTAACATAAATAGGAATATACATTTATATTGCTATACAGAAGTAGCAGTAAGTTTGCGACCCACGTAGTGGCTCTCGAGCTCAGTCTTGCATTAAATGTAATTACTTGGGCAAATTACGGTTGAGCTCTCCAAATATACCTTGGCGTAAAGGTATGAGACTATATGAAAGGGAGGTTAACGTGCATGTGCAGTTTATGACGTTTTTAAAGTAGAATTACACAAGACGAGTACAAAAATAGATGTAGGTATATATTTATATATATGTATATGTGTATTTATACGATTAAATATAATTAATGTAATGTAATTAATTTAATTTTGTCTAGTTTGTTTAAATATTGTCACAATATTGTACACCGCTCTACCTGCTGACATTGATGCTCCTTTCCACTTTGGGTTTGCTGGAAGAAAACTCTGTTAGAGTTAAGCTCGCCTTTGTATATTTGATTACTCTGACTCTGTCATATTCTTATAACTGGTGTATACAATAAAGAATTAAAAATAAAAATAAAATAGTAAGAGCAGAATCGTACTTCGTGAAAGTAATCTAAACAGACAGGACGTAAGACGGAAAATAAAGGAAATCGTGTCAGTTTCGAGAAAAAAATATTTGACAATTGGATAAAAATAAAAAATCTGCCAACCCTAAAATAAACTCATTTTCACGATTATAGTATAGCAAGATTTATTCATAGGAATGTGGCGCTCTCTAATGTTTAATGATGGAAGAAAAGGATTCCAGATAATCAAATAGCTGAAAGGATTTACATATTTTGATATTCTTTGAGTGTATTTAAAACAACTTATTTTTCATTTTATTTGTGGCATTTATTCTTTATTGTCAAAAAAAATTACAACATTATAATATATATATAAATATAAAAAATGTTGTCAGATAAAAAGATTATTATTTAAATCGGTTTAAGTCACAAAGAGTTATGAAGTAACAGACATAAAAAAATATATACAAACAAATTAATAATCTCCTTTTGGAAGTCGATAGACAACAACATTGTACATTGTTGTTATTAAAAATATGAATATATTGCTTTTGACATATATAACTGTAATAACAATTAATTTCAAAACAAATACATATCATAGTATACTATAATACATATACATATATACATAGTCATAAAATATCTCAAATTACAATAAAAAACTTAAGATTATGTTTCACAGAAAAACAAAAGAATAAAAATAAAAAAACAAATTTTGAAAAAAAAAAAAGTACAAAAACAAAATATATAATAACAATCTCTATTGTTACCATTCCTTCATGGTGCCTAATATAAAAAAATGGTCACATAAAAAGAGCAAAACTATTTAAATTCTGTTTAAGACACAAAAAGTTTTCATTAAAAATTTACAATATAAAAAATATATACAAACAAATTAATGTGTCTAATCTTTGCCTTTTGATATTATATTCTACATAAATAAATAAACAACAGATACATTGTTGTTATTTTTCAATAAATATTCACTAAATAGATTGCTTTTTGGATAAAACTTTGTTTATAATTAAAAAGATTTTAAGTTTTTTTTAGAAATACATAAATAAATAAATTTTCACTATATATGTAATGTTGAATTAAATTTATATAATAGTATCGAACAATAGCAACGAATCCGAATAAAGTAGTTAGTGGTTTGATGAATGTTTGGTAAGTATATGAAATTAACTACTTCGATTTCACTTTAACTCCACGGCTCATGTTAAATTTATAATTTTCGAGTTTTCTTAACAAATGGCGGAAGTCGTTTCGTGGCTGATAAAATAAATCACTTGCAACTAAACACAAGCGTACACAATTTCCTCGTTCAACCTAATTTCCCTATATAAATATTTACCAATGCATTCCAAATAAGTACAGTTTTTGTATGTTTACTAGTTTTTTCTCGTTACTTTGTAAGCGTGGATTTAAAAAAAAAGAGGTACAACCAGAGAAATAGACTTTTTTTTAGATAATGTATGCAGATAAAACATATCCTAGTTTTTATGTTAGACATTCTGGAATACAAATATGAAAACCTTATCTAAATTGGCGCAGTAGTTTGAACGTGATGGGAGCAAAATAAACTACGTACATATAGACATACAAAATTTCAGAAATTTATTATTTTAGAAATTATTCTATTTCTCTTATAAAGATCCTTCATATTTTCTAATGTATATATATATATATATAAATATATATATATATATATATATATATATATATTTATATAATATTTTAATATATATTTTAATATTTTATCTTAACTACAATTAGTATATTTATTACAACTATTAATATTTAGAATACATTATACAGTTAAATAAAATATTAAAATATATATTAAAATATTATATAAATACATATACTATAAATAAATATAATAAAATATATATTAAATGTATAGATATCGTCTAGTTAAAATTTTGTTATGTTGATAAGATAAGTACTGTAAATAGATAGTCGATTATTTGTTTGGATGTTTTAATTTGTTTCTAATTTCATTTAAATACTGTTTCCGTAACAATTTCAACAAAACTTAGTTACCTTTTCATTATTAAGTTTATTGAGTATTAGGCGACGGTTGCCACTTTCCATCAGTCGAACCGTCTATTTGCTATTTTATTTTCCATTAAAAAACAACATTTTATATCTAATAAGATATACGATATATAACTACATGAAGTAACTAATGTACATTAGTTTACATTAATTACAGTAATTTACATTTAATTACCAAATTAAAAAAAAAACTTGTGGTAGGTACTTGGAATAAAGTCTAATATATATATATATATATATATATATATATATATATATATATATATATATATATATATATATATATATATATATATATATATATATATATATATATATATATATATATATATATATATTACAATGCCATCTTTGTGGTATAAAAATAAATATAAATTAAATAAACGCCTTGCTTAAGACAAACATTTCATTTATTATGTATAAAATTTAATTATAAATAAATAAGCGAATTAATTCAAGCAGCATTCCTATAAACATAACCAATGCCTAAATGCGGTTGCCAGCCGCAAACAATACCGCCAAACGTGGCAATTATTGCTAAGATCTCTTTATAGGGGGAGGTCTATGTTTAATAGTGACCAGTTAATGACTGATATATACATTCAAATTCTAATTCAAATCGGATTTATTCAAATAGTCTTGTGATACAAGTACTTTTAAATCGTCATTTATTTTATGAATCCAAGGTTTAAAAAGTTATATGCTAAGAAGAGCTCGCAAGAAACTCATTTAAATCTCTGTTAATATTATGTGTATTTATTTAAATGTATTATGTCTAAAATTACATGGCCATAAAAAGGCCGTGCATGATCGATTAATACCATGCACATTTGCCATTCAAGTAAGTTATATATATAAACTAAATAAATTATTTATATATATACATTCATTCACGATTTCTACAATGACTCCACGTTAAAGTCTATACAAGTTACATGCCTTTCATTAACTTACCTCAGTAACTGTCATTCTATTCAAGGCATCGTATCGCGAGATAAGGCTGTTGGCAGGCGTGCAGGTGCCCCGGCCGGAGCCCGGTACGGTGCCTTCGTCCATGCGATCACGCCCTTATTCCAACTGGAAAGGAAACATATGGTAAATTGTTTGATCGTGGGTATGGAAAATTATTATATTTAGATGAATGTTTCAGGAAAAGGTTTTTGTATACAATATTTCAAATACTAACTACCTGTTAGGTAGTACGTGTTTTTTTTAAATAATTATTAAATATAATTATAAAAAATAGTCTTAATTTTAATAATAGTATTATTATTTTATTAATTTTTATTTTTTACTTACTATAATTATATTAATTTTAATAATATAAGTTTTAATGTATAAAATGTAATTAATTAATTTTATTACAATATAATAATCAATAATTATTTTATATATATAAATTTATTTATATATATCATATAATTTATATATGATAAATTATACATAATGTCCATATTAACTCAAATGTACATACTCATGAACACAAAAGTTTGTATTGTGCGAGGGTCGAACCCGTATCCAATGGATGGATGTCTAATAAATTATTGATATATTAATATAAAAACAATAACTTTAGCGTTTTTAGCAGTTTTTAGTTGCTTGCTTAGGCACCTCTGTCCCATTCGTGTTACTATCGTGAAGTTTACATGGCTATGCTTCGATTTGAAGGGTGGGAGTGAATTTACAGGGTTTAGAGGAGTAACACCTGAGTCCTCAGGAATGGTAACGGATGAAGGATATCACTGGTGAAACAGTATACTTTGTTATGTCCATGGTACTGTTCATGTTTACAGGCGATGGTTACCACTTTCCATCAGGTGGTCCGTCAGCTTGTTTGTCACACTAAGTTGCGTAAAAAAACTACCGAATTGGACTACAAAAAAAAAAAATTAAAATAATTATGACAATAAATTGATGAATTACATTTTAACAAGTTCCGTTAATTAATGAATTAATGGAATTATTATATGTATAATAAATAAGTATTACGGCAAAATGAATTTCTCAATGGTTCAGTGAAGCGTTCTATCCGACTGAAAGCATTGCTTATCTAAAGGATATGAACTTGTCCAGCGATATAAATAGAATAAGCATAATTATATTTATATTTTTGTGATATATTAACAGGTTTTAGTTTAATAAAACTAAAGAGGATCTGTGTAAAATGATTTTGTTTTTCAAATCAAATCAAATCATATTTATTCACTTGCTACATGGTACAATAAGAAGTTACATATACAGGCACATAACATGCAGCACCCCGCAGAAGTATGCAAATGTTAATCTGTGTTTAGTCTACATTATATTACAATTATAAAGTCCAAACATTTTCCAAATTACAATATTCTTTATGTCAAATTATCATATAAAATTATGGTTTATATTTTAAGTAATTTTTAATACATTATATCTTTTATTACATTGTTTTGTCATTTAAATATTCAATACAGACTGTATAATAGCATTTTTCTAAGAGAAAGTGAAATGACTTTGATTAAATCTCTCTATCGGTAGATCCTTTATTTCTGAAGGTAACTTATTGTATACCCGTATTGCCATTGGATAACAGCTGTCACTATATAATGTTGTTGACGTTGCGGGCAGCACCAGTTTATGTGGGAATCTTTTACGATAGTTATCAATTACGTTATAGTTAATTTCAAATAAATATGGGTGCGTTTTTACAAATATATATAATTCATACATATACATACTAGGCACTGGTAATATTTTTAATGTTTTAAAGCTTGGTTTACAGCTTGTTCTCTGAGATATTCTACATATGGAACGAATAAATTTTTTTGGGCAATAAAACTTATACCACAAAGGTGGCAAACAAGCATGCAACTCGTTATTGATAATAAAAAGTCCCTTTGTAAACATTCGTGAAAAGCTTCACCTGTACTATAATATGTCTTGATTTATATACTGTAAATGTATTATTCTATATTTTATTCTATATATGTTCGTTTATTTTTCACCAGAGGGAGACTTTGTACAAAAGTCGATTGCTTGGGTACCTCTGTCCCATTCGTGTTTCAACCGTGAAGCAGTTGTGTTTGCATAGCTGTGTTTCGGTTTGAAGGGTGGGATATGGCGTGAATTTATTGGGTACAGAGGAATAACACCTGAGTCCTCAGGAATGACAACGCATGGGGGGTATCATGGGCGAAACAGTATACTCTGTTATGTCCATGGCACTGCTCATGTCTATAGGCGACGGTTACCACTTTCCATCAGGTGGACCGTCAGCTTGATTGCCATTCTAAGTTGTATAAAAAAAAAATTAAAATATGTTAATGATGTCTTGCAAAATATTGTTTTAATTTATAAATTACTTTGTTAAATTAATGCATGCATGGTAACGCCATGAAAACAGCAGTACACATTGTGATATTCATGATATTGTACTTCTCCATAGACCATGGTTGGACCAAGCTGTTAGTTTGTTAATCATTTCAAACTGTATACAGAAATTTAAAAAAAAGAACAAACAGGTACCAAATTAACCGTCGTGATATGAATATTTGATTTATACTTATGACTGCGCTGTTTTTCGGCAAGAGTTAAATATATCTTGTTACTGAGCTGTTTCAGGTCATTCGGACTCCAGCCCGCGTCACGCACTGCCAATTTTTAAAATGTCCAAAACATTCGTGCAATTGGTGTGTAAATTTTGAATTGTGAATACGTTAATATGTATAACTTTATTGGACCCTGACTTCTTTATACACGTTTTTATTCTCACCTATTATCCTTTACTGGTGCCTCGCTAACTTATACCGTTAGAGCAGGCATGGTTATTATTCCGTTACTATTTTTTTTCTATTTAGGTCAACAAACAGTAGACACAATAACAATATATATATATATGTATCTAAATATTGTTAACACTAATACATGCCTAGACAATATCGGACCGGCATAAACGTAGTGGGTAGGCCGTGTAAATTATTACAACGGAACGGTCACCATACTACCCTGCAAATTGTATATAAATCGCTCGGTTGAGACACCCTCTGTGTGACACTATACTTTACTACTACAAGACTGCCTTATTGTTACGCTGTAAATCTTATGATAATATATCTATTTTAAAGTAAAACTAAAACTGTTAAATATATCGACTTTTGTACAAAGTCTCCCTCTGGTGATTAATTATTTAATTTTGTAAACATGAAATAAATATTTCTAAATAAGTTATTACAAATTTATTGATTATCATTCATGTATAATCCGCTCCATTTGTGAAGGATTATCCAACCGCGATGTCTCAAAATAAAAGGGATCTGAAGGTCAAATCGACCCGTGTTTCAGAGAACGGTTTGGCTATATTTATTGTACAGTCGTCTTCATAATTGGAAGGGAATAGTATTATTATTATTGGATTTACTTAAACGATGCACCATTTTAGTTTTTTTAATGGAATGGTAACCCTGTCTGCACTATCCTTAATCGCTGGTAGTGAAAAATGACAGATAACGTTGGAAGAAGCACGTCAGTTAGCCCATCGTGACGATTTCAGCAATAATTAGCCAAGATGATTTCCAGGGATAATCGCATGTCCTATGTTGCTAGCAATGGGATTGCTAATACCTATTACTAACAATTTCGTCTCCTTCCTGGCATCCCAACTGGCCAATGTCTGACAGTCCTAAGATGGAATCTCAGCCTAAATTGACTAGGTAAATAATAGGTGGAGGGTGGAAAGGGATTGTTAGTTAGTTAATTGTTAGCTCTATGGTTATAAGATCTCCATTACTAACAATCTATTTCTATAGAGTACATTGCTAGCAATGGTACTAGAAATATACCCTGCCAGTCCACACAAACTCTGGAAACCATTTTGGTTAATTCATGTGGTAGGTATCCATCACGAAAAACTTTTCATTCTCATCTATCATCTCACTGATGTCTCGACAGTCTATATCAAAAGCGCAAGCAGGGTTACTATCCACTATCATCCATTACAAAATAGAGCTGTTATATAATAGGGAATAATTTATGGGATACAGCGACCCCATTATACACTACGAGGTCACCTTCCACGCGGTTTAACACTTCTTGGAAATCATTGTGGCTAATTCCTGATGAAGTAATTACAATGGGCCACAAATTTGCCCACAAATTAAAATTCACCTGTCATCTTTCACTGGTACCACCCAGCGTAGATTAGGTAAGCAGAATCATCATTCCATTTCATCTATTAAAAACATAATTTCAGATTACGTTCGCAGGCGAGCTATTAGTACGTTTACTATTCTGTCATAAAAAAAAAATGTCCAGTAAATGTTATTCCATTAGGGGCATCAGGATTCCTCTTAAAACAGCACCGAAGCCCAACTGCGGCTGTCAATCCACTTGCCAAGCGTGCCAACTATTGGGCAAAGCTTTCCATAGGAGAAGATCTATGTCCAGCAGTGGACAGTTAACGGCTGATATCATAATAATAAAAAATTTATTCCACCCGCATGTTCCATTGTGTACTTTATTGTTAAATGCTGTAAATTTATTTCAATTCTACCATAATATTTTACCCGAATCGTAACAAAGAGCCTTTTATAGAGGTATGAGTGTAATGTTGAAAGGGTGAATTTTTCAAGTGATTCAGATTTATCGCTTAGATAAGTCTCTTGAAAAATAAGCACCGATTAAGTGTTTTTGTCCCGATGACTGGCGCTTACAGTGTGCCATTAATATTTAGTAAAATATAGAACAGCGATGAGTATTTGATAACGGAAAAGAATTGGAAAGAAAAAACTAATGTAGTAGTTGCAGTTGAAATGTTACGGATCTTATAAATGCGGAGAGCGTTCTGACTGTCTTGATATGGATCATAGATAAAGCACACGGCAAAAAGTTCTCAAATTTCCATCCATCAAAATTATTCGAAATGATTCGTGAATTATCAGTAAAAATAATATTATGTCCATATAAAAATTTTATTTATAATTTTTTTTTTATACAACTTAGAATGGCAAACAAGCTGACGGCCCACCTGATGGAAAGTGGTAACCGTCGACTATAAACATGAGCAGTACCATGGACATAACAGAGTATACTATATCGCCCATGAT